TTAAAGCTTTCTGCAAAAGCTCTGGGAAGCAAACTGCGATAGCTGCCTATTCATAGATCCACCTAATATAATCCGCCCCCATCAATCGAAACCCCTAGGCCTATATCCAGCTTGCCATTACTGTTCATCATTGTTGATCACATAGTTTTTTGTGTGGGTATCAATGTCTTTGATTTTTTGGCCGTTTTTCCACCGGACTGATATAAATCTCTGAAATAAACATCGCCCCTGGCAAACTGCATGACATTATAGGTGCAAATGTGTATAGCCAACGAATCAAAAGCTTAAATGAGTTAAAGTTCAATTTCTTTCGAGTAGTGTTCCCTGAAATATCAGTGGTTCACTGGACAATGCATATTTTGGACCATTAAAAGTAAGGTGTTCGTCCCTTTCGAAGAGTGTTGGAACAACATAATCAAGAATCTTACCGGCTGCGCTTGTGTTGCATCGTTTGGCTGTGAAACTGGATTATTTCTAATAAAGTCAATGCTGAAGACTGGTTCGCTGGGAGGAATACGGATCGGGGCGTCTCCACTCATGAAGCGCTCAACCTCTTCTGTTAGAAGACCTCAAAATATTCTTGGTCGCCTAGAGAAAAATGATATTTTTAAGAACATACTTGAGCGAGTTCTACTGGAAGAATTAAGAAGTCTTGACGCACCTAAATTTTGTCAGTAAACAACAAAAGCAACTTTGCTAGAAAACAAACAATAAAAAAAGCCTCACTAGATGCGTCCGAAGCGGCGAAGAATGAGTGGTTCTGAAAGCAACAAATGTTAAGGCACAATCACACTTATAATCACATGAGTTCAAAAAACAACCATGTCAGAAAAAGGAGGCTCGGATGAAGATGAATTTGCATTTTGAGCATCTGAAGGAAGACAAATATATTTTTACAAAACTTATACTGTTGTTTATTTTAATCAAAATATAATCTAAAGTATGGAGAGGCTTCCAATGAACATTTCAGATACGAGCAGAGAATTTTGCCAACAATTGAGCTATATAAGTGGCATTTTACTTACTTTTGACTCACCTTTTCAAAAGCTATTATGAAATAATCATGAAATAATTTTATTACATGATACTTGAACGCTCTTCCAAAGAAGCAACACAAAAGTCGATAA